TCTTGAATTACCAAAACCCAAGGCTACCCTTTTCATCTGTTCTTCTGGAACAGTGTAGAAGCCTTGGAATTCTTGACTCAAACTTCTGGGTCTGTAAACTAGTGTTTTAATATTTGCAGAGACTTTAAACCCAAATACTCAGGATGCTTTTCTCTTGTGAGTAATAGTTTTATTTTCTATGCTGCTTGAATTTCACCTAGAACTCTTCTCCATCTTCTGAGGGGCATCCTTAGCTCCAGAGTGGCTGGTGGAATATTTTTTGTTTCAGTGTCAGAGAGGGTTTAACTGCCCTTTGTGTTTCAGAAGGATGGTGGCTGCCCTAGAGTCCTTGTTGGTTCACATCCTTTGTTGAGGATGAGTTTTTTTTAGTCTTGTTTCTTCGTCTCACCCTGTCTATTATTGTGTGCTCTCCTACTGTTGGGGTTTTCCCCTGTTGAGTTCTGGATAACTTGAGATGTACCTTCCAGACTCCCTGATTCTGTTTTTGTCTTGGTCTGACCACCCATGGAATTCTTAATTTGCTTATGTTGTTTTTTTTTATTTAGCTCCTCCCTTTTTCCTTCCCTCCTTCCTTCCCTCCCTCCTCTTTCCTCCCTTTCCTCCTTCCTTCCTCCTTCCTTCTTCCCCTCCCTTCCTCCCTCCCTCCCGCTTTGATCACAGTTTACAGTGTTACCAGTGCCTCTCTGTAGTTCTATACTTGTCACCCATCACTACACTCCATTTGGGTCCTTTGGTTCTTGTCCTTTGTTGTTGGTTCTTATTCATATGTTATTTTCTTCTAGTGTGCTTATTGGTTTCATTTATATGTTCTTTATGCATTTGGAAAATTACTTATAGAAATAACTGAATGCTGTGGGGTGACAATATTTTCCTGCATGGGGCTTTGTGCAACTTCTAGGTACCCACAATACTCAAAATCTGGGACTACTGTGGCCTTTGCCTTCCCAGTCAGGCTGTCATTCATAGGTAGGAGGAGCTTAACTTTTGGGTCACTGCTTTTACTCTACCTGCTTTAATCTCCTGAGTCTAGGAGGCTTGTCAGGGCTGCAAATGCCTCACCTAGGCTTTACAACCCTTCGTGCCAGTTTTTATACCACACTCCTGTATTTGTTTTTATACTCAATGTAGCTTTATGTAATCACACTCAGTAGGATCATTGGTCTGACTTGTATAACTTGTCATTATCTGAAGTATAACTGAAACGGGCTCTAACTTTAAGTTTGTGTTAAATATATTCTTTATTTTACTTTGGTTTATTGTTCCTGTCCTGGTGAGTCAAGAGACCTTTTAAATAAGATATATTTTAATTCTGTGTATATGTGTACATCTGTGCATGTGTGTGTGCAGGTATCCATGGAGTCTAGAAGAGGGCATTATGTTCCTTCAAGATAGGTTTACTGGTGGTTGTGAACTTTGACTTGGGTGCTGGGAACCAAATTCTGATCCTGTGGAAGAGCAGTAGATGCCATCTCTCCAGTTCCAGACCCATTGCTGTCAGTATGTAAAGTTGAAAAAATACTTTAAACTAATAGCTTTTTCTTTCTTCCCAAGGTGCCAATTCACAGTGATAACCTATTAGTAACACTAGGTTTAAGTCCAGGATTTCTAGATATTGTCAGATCCTGTTCTTATCAATTCCTGGAGCATGTGGTAGAAGAAGAAAGCCAACACAACTTTACATATAGTGACCTCCACACATATAGGCCCTGTGTAGCTTCGTATATATACACACACACACAAACACATACACACACATACACAACCCTTAATAGGAGAATTGATATGGAAGAGTTTTATCCAAGGTCTTACCAGTAGACAGGGCACAGCTGAACAAAGAGCATGAGACTCCTCAAAAGAACATTTAACTGCTTTACCCTGAAGCAGCTTAGGGTTGAGCCTGAGGTTCTTGGCATGAACCTCCTAAACTGCAAAAGTAAAGAGAACAAGTGTGGGAACCAACACAGTAAACATCAGAATAGCACATCTAAGAGCTGCATGATTAGAATACAGGAAGAGAGAAATACACAGTGATGACAGAATTTCCTAAATTAATGTTAGATCCTAGAGGCTCAGAGAATACTTGGCAAGATAAATACCTAACTAAATCTAACTGCACTTTCAAACTACAAAGAAAAAAATCACAGCTAGAGGCTTCTAAAGGAAGCCAGAGGAAAAGACATTTTACATATGAAGGTACTTATGTAAGAGTTCTCCTCAAAATATGCAACCATGAAGAGAGTACAGTAAAACTTTAGGTATGGGAGAAAAGATTCTGTCTCATTCTGGGCATAAAGTAGGATAGCTCTAAGGAGAACCTCTACTGGCCACAGTAGCTCAGACCTGTAATCTTAGGACTTCAGAGGCTGAGGCAGGAGGTTTGCTGTGAGTCTGAAGCCATCCTGGGCTGCAGAGTTGTATTCTGTCTTAAAAAAAGAAGAAAGGAGAAAAGAAAAAAAAAGTGAAGGGGTGGTGGTGGGGGGAGGAGAAAGACAGGTTTCAGGTGGGTAACTAGGTTCTGCCTTTATATCCATCTAACTCAAAATGAGGTTCCCAGCAGAGTCTGATGTGCCTGAGTCTTAGTCCCACCCTTGATTAATGGTGGCCCTAAGATGCCATAGGGTGGAGGAGAGGTGGAGGATTGTGAAGTAGACAGTACTGCCTTTAGCTGAGCAGTATTCTGGATACTATGAGGGTAGCATGTCTCTGGAGGGGTCTCTCTGACCTATGCAACTTTCCATGTCTAAACAAAGGTTGGCTTTAAGTTTTTGAAAATAAAATAGTAGGTTTTGGCCCCTTGTTTCTGTAAAATTTTCTTTGATTTACTTTTTTAAATATCTAAACTGAACTGCCCCAGTGCTGTGTGAAATATACAAAGTTTATTTATTTTTCTTTTCTTATTCTAAGGTGTGATGACTCTTTTTGGCTGTTAACTACATTTGCAGTTAATGAGAATGTATATGACTGGATTTATCTGTGGGGGATTTTTCTTAATTAAATTATTTAAAATGGAAAGAGACCTACTTTTGATCTTTTGAGCTGGGAAGATCCATCTTTAACCTGGATGACACTTCCGCTTGGCAGCCTATCTTAAGGACATGGAAGAAGGAAGCTTTCTCTCTTTGCCTGCTTGCTTTTACTCTCCCTAGAAAGTTCATTCCTTCACTGGCATTAGATCCTACTTCTCCAGGATTCTGACATATACGATCAGCTGAGACAGCCAGCCTTGTGGACTGAACAACTACCCGATTCTTGGACCTTCCATTGGTAGACAGCCATTGTTGGACTAGCTGAAGCACGCCTGTAAGCCACTCTAATAAATTCTCTTTATATATATATGTATATATATGCACATAATGTATATGTATGTATTGTACATATGTGTATATGTGTATATATTTAATATGTTCATATATTATCCCACAAATATATATGTGTATGTATGTATAAAATCCTATATACATAAACTTAAAAGTTCTGTTCCTCTAGAGAAACTTGACTAATACAGAAGGGCCCAGACTTTCAGTTTTGAAGGTCTTGTATTACATTTTAAAAATCAATTATTTGGAGAAGTTTTGCTATGACACGTAGCTTAAAACTGTACTTTGAAAACTACCAGAGAATTATGTTTTGTTTGTTAGATATTGTTTGTCAGCCATGTTACATTCTAGGGAGACAGAAAAGTGGTATATCAGCAAAGGAAGCTGTAACTGAGTGAACTAAGAAATGTATAGAGTACTTAACACTAGTGAAGAGCTATCAAGACATCAGGGAAAGGATCTGGAAGCACGGAGGGGTTGGTTGTATTCCAGAGCATGTCTGAAGCCTGGCCTGGCTGTGCGCCATGCTGGGGAGCAGAAGAAAGGGAGGCCTGAGAGTGGTGCCTGGAGACTCCAACAAGGAGTTGGTGGGTTATGTTGTGTGTTGTGCTGTCTTCCCCTCCACCCCCCAACCCCCAACCCCCCGCTGAGCTGTGAAAAAGAAAAGTGTTAAGTGTGTACTGGGTGTGATTTACATTTACAACAGTTGTTTGTGTTTATAGGAAACGATTTGTAGAGGAGCACATGAGACCTATAGATACTTGTGACAATCCTGGAGGAAGGTGGAAGGAATTCAGGAAGTTCTACATTTATTTTATGGGTAGGGTTTTGTAGATGGCTCTGATGAGGACAGTGAGAGAAGGGGAGGCACCAGGTGTAAGTGTTCCACTCTGAGGAGAAAGGTATCCTGGCAGTTAGGAGCCAATTAATACCACAAAGTCACACTGCACAACAAACCTCAGAAAAGAGAGTGGCTTCTTCTGCTTGGGTTGAGAAGCAGCAAAGACTTGACCAGGAGTCAAGCTTTATATAGGGTTTCTTGGGAGTGGGGGGAAATGAAGCTTTCCAGGATGGCTTGGGATTGGTGGGATTCTGTGGCCTGATCTTGGGCTATTTTTTTCCTTTGTAGGGCGAAGCTTGGCCACCAGAGTCTTAAGGGGCTGGAAGTGGCTGTTACAGCCATTAGAGCACTCTGGCTGGTGGGGATGGAGGGTGAGGGGGTGGGGGTGTGGTGGGTGAGAGGTGAGGGTGGCACGTCTTGGCCACTGAGGCCTGGAGGGGTTTGCACCAGGTCCATAAAATGCAGACCTATGGTTTCTAAGTGTCATTTTGGCAGTGTGCATGTAGGTCTTGTGTTAGTCAGCTTCCTGTTGGTTCTTACTTTGGTTGAGTCCTTAGAACTACAAATCCCCATACTTAGCTGTCACCTCCAGTTTCTATGGCTGTCCTGCTTAGGAGAAGGCCACCTTCCTTTGAGGCTTTGACCTTCATCTGCTTTGGCTGCCCTGTTTAGGAGAAGGCCATCTTCCTTTGAGGGTTGGAACCTAGTAGAAGTGATGTTTTACTTTACTCATTGTGCTGAGTGCAATCCCTTGAAGTGAGATCTCTGCATGCTATCCTGTTCCAGGGAAGCTCAGGGGTCCAAGAGGAACTGAACTGCCCTTCTCTACAGGAGCACAAGGCACTGGATTGAAGGCACCCCTGGACACCAGGGGCCTAGCTCTTCTACTCCTGAAGAGGTAAACTCCTTTTGTACCTTACATTTACTTCAGGGGCAAGAAGTCAAGCTTAGCAGATTTATTTTCTGTTCTTTAATGAGTCTACCACCTAGTAAATGTGATATGTCATGTTCTATGAAAATATGGCTTCTTGTAGATGGATTTTTATATGTAAATCAGTGCTTTAAATTTTTACTTTTAACCCTTTGTTTATTTGTGTGTATGTGATGTATGTGTAGATGTGCCCAAATGTGTGGGTGCATACACCTCTTTGTGTGCATGTGGAGACCAGACATTGACAGTCAGTGTCTTTTTTCTGTTAACTTTTTGAGACAGGATCTTTCACTGAGCCTGGTGCACACCCACTGGGTGGGTTTTGTCCAGTGAGCAGTAAGGACTGTGTGGAGTTACAGCTGTGTCCCAGGAGGCTTCTCCTCAGACTTCACAGCTCACACTACCCACAAAGCAACTCCAGGCTCCCAGAGCAGTAACTAATTAAGCAGATTGCTTAGCGTGATGTGTGAAGAAGACATTACTTTTTTCCCTGAGAGATGAAGAGGAACTGGGCAGAAAATTGCTTAGATAGTAATGCACGGAGTTCTTTTATGCCTAAATGAGAAGCCAGACATACATACAAACATCAGTATATCAGAAGCATTTCTCAGGAACAGACTGTAGGTTAGTACCCATGGGCATTTTTGATTTCTCATCCTTAGAGTACAAAAAGGAGCTTCACATTCAGGACATTTAAAAATAGCTCAATCGTAAGGAGATATAAAGTATTATCAGCTGTGCTTTTTGTCCACAGTTAGTGAGTTCCTGTGGAAGTGTAATGACTTTTAGTAATGACATTACTCATGATAAAACTTCAGATGTTAAAATTGGAGCTACAGCTGGATGACATATTTAAAATGACTCAGAGAGGACTCCAGGATCTCCGGCAGGCTGTTTTCATCCCTCATAATCTGCCTTTGCTTTCGGTGGGTCATGAACGTGCTGATAGAAGAGCCTGTCTTGAGTCTCCATCTGTTCCCTCTCTGAAGACCTGATGTGTGCTCACCATTTCCTGTGCTGCTTGGCAGGCCACTGTGAAGGGACGGTGCTGTTCTCAGAGATGGCTCGGGAGTCTGCAGACCTTGCTTCTGACTATCAGTTTTGGCTGCAGAAGCTTTCTGCATGGGAACAGGCCTCTTCTAAGGAAACCCAGCAGGACATTTGTCTCCACCTGTCCCGGTTCCAGAAGTTCCTGAGGCAGATGTACGAAATCTTGAAGGAGATGGTAAGTATCCTGTGACATTCAGGACTCCAACATTCAAGAATACTACTTAGAGTCAGGGACTTGTGGTTCACTGAACTCAATTTACTGATATGTGCTGCAGACATGGGCTGTTTTTGTACCTTCTGGTTAAAAAAAAGGCATTATTTTTCTTCTTACCTATTTGAGGCTGCTGGCCAAGAAAATTAATAAATCTATTCATTCTTGCAGTGTTTGGAATTGAACCCAGGGCCCCAGGACCTTCAGCATGTTAGGCAAGCCTTCTATCACAAAATTGTATGCTAAACCTAAGCAAATCATTTTCAGGTTACAGGGCTTTGATGTCTACTGTAGGTAGTAAATGGGGTTTGTCCTTCAAGCTTTCTAGGAGTTCTAGACTGTTTGCCTTTTCCTCTGCTCTGTCTTCAAGTAGGCTCTCTTAAAGAGATAGTAAAATCCTGTTACTGTCTGTATCTCTCTATTAAGATCTCTTCTAATAAACACTTTAAGAGATCTTTTCAAATAATAAATGTTGAGTGTCTTCATTTATGTCATTTATTGTTTACACTCCCATTTATCTGCATATTGACATAAATTGCTTACAGCTTTGGCTGACCTAGAACTCACTCTGTAGATCAGGCTAGCCTCACACTCAGAAAGCCTCAGAGATCTACCTACTTGTGCCTCCCGAGCTCCGGGATTTAAAGGTGGGAGCCATGGTTTTATGTTACAGACATATTAATTAATGGTTCGTATCTTTTTTGAATTTGAAAATGAGAGTCTAATTGTTATTTCACATAAGTACTCTCATGTAATACTTTTTGTCTGTTCATCAAATAAGCAAATTCAAAATTTGAAGAGCAAATTTCTGTAGGTTATTCTGTAGATAATGAGTTCATATGTCCTTAGAAATTTAAAGGCAAAGCTATGTGAATAAATACTTGATACTGATTTCTGTATTTTTTTTTTTTTTAGTAAGATTTATGTAACTTGACCATAATATGGTCTCAAAAAGTCTAGGACCAGCCCCTGGTGCTGGGACCACATGAGGAACTTCCTGCTGCAGCATCTGGGGCACAAAGGTCTTTTTGCATCCAGATCACTAAGGAAACCAGGAATGTTAAACATGCAGGGGCCTCTCTTCAATTGTGGAGATAAAATACCTTGTTTTCCTACCCAGAAAGCTGAGAGTGGATATTGTAAATGACCTGGTGACCTTTTTGCTATCTGTGATGGCAGACCTCACCCAAAGCCTCCAGAATGTTTACTCTAGGCTTTCCCTCCTTAGCTCCCAGTTAATAGAACCAGTTAATAGAAGGGCATCACATGTACTCTGTAGCCTGCTGACCTCTTACTGTCTCAGAGACACTAGATTTGAGGCCCTTTAGTTGTGGAGCCCCCTCTTATGGTCACATAACTTGTAAAGGAGTTTCTAAGGAGTCACAGCCTAAGCTTTATTGTGTACCAGGAACAATTGTTTCCTAGAAACCTAGAGTGTGAATGATGTTGCCTGGGAACTTTTTCCCAAATTGTTCTGTATTTTAAATATGCTGACAATGAACGACCTGGTGTCAGACTGTCCAGGTCTGATCCAGGTTGATGGAAGTCAATCTGAACCAAGTTCTCATTGTCATCTCTTTGAGGCTCACTTCTCTGCCTGGATATCTGTTTTGGCTTCCCCACACATAAGCTCACTATTGTCTTGCTTTTGAACTATATAGAAGGTAGAAATGTGAAAGATCTAGATGTGTACCAAAACTGTGCTTTTATTTTAAGCTATTTTCTGTTTGGTTGATAGTTTTGTCATCTCAGAGATTGGGCTGTTGTAAATGAAGTGTAAAGTCATTTAGCATGTTACAGTTAGCATGCTGTAACTCACGAAGACACACATCTTAGTGCTTCAGCCACTGTCCTTCCTTTGCAAGTTGCAGAGTTCTTATCCTGTTAAATCTTTGAAAAGCTGAGTGATAAGGGGCGTTCCTTATACTCAATAAAATTTATAGTGCAAAGAGGTGGTGTTACATAAGAGGCAGGATTACATGGTTACTAATCATCCATACTGTTTTTATTCTTCTCCAGTCTATATTGGGTTTAAATGAAATAGTCTTCCCAGGGCTGGGTAATCCTAGCACTTAGCAGGCAGAAGCAAGCAGATCTCAGTGAGTTTAAAACTAGCATGTGAGTGCTAAGACAGGGCTATGTAGATAGACCCTGTAAAACGACAGCAGCAATGAAATAGTCTTTTCTGACGTTTCAGTTTGAGCAAAATACAATCAAGTTTTTGATAAAATTGAAATGACCTAATTATGTCATATTGAGTTTTTAAGGATAAAGTATAAGTTCCTTTGAGTTTCTTAACCTAGAGCTCTCCTCTAATCTCTTCCCCTACACTTTTTAAAATAGAATGCATAGGAGCACTCAGGCTCTCTTGAGGAATTGTGTTGCTCAGTTGAATTTCATAGCACTCTTTAATTATCAAAACATGTGGTTGTTGTTTTCACAGGATTCTGATGCAATCCTGGAAAGGTTCCCCACAATTGGTCAACTGTTGGCAAAAACTTGTTGGAATCCTCTCATCTTAGCATATGGTAAGAGTCTCAACACACAAACACCTAATGACAGTCTTGCTGTCTGTACTTCTAATGAAGCTCAGGGATGTAAATTGTAACCTTTTCCATGTTTCCACAGGGCAGGTCACCGAATGTATACATCTTCTTGTGCTTCTGTGTGTTACAGGCAAGCACACACATATAAGTACAGAGGCTTATACATGTGGGCCTGTAGGAAAGCAAGGCTTCTTACAGTGGCGAGGAAACACCTCATGATTTAAACACCAGTGTTTGTCTGTAGGCACTCTCATTACTTTACCTCATTTTAAATTCTCCACAATTAAGCTTGATACTAATGAAACCCAGTTAATTGTTTGCCGTTCCATGTTAACTCATGTACTGTTGCCCGTACTGCGAGTATACGTCTTCTTGATGGAGTCATTTGGTCAGGGTGAGAAGCAAGGGTGAGAGATGGTAGAGGAAGGACCTGGAGATGGAGGGTGAGAGCACCTTCCTTAGTGACACTGTTCTGGTAAACTTTTACACTGCCTTTCCTGTAGCCTGGGGCTTTGGCTCTCTTTGCCAGCAGATTCAGGCTAAGAACTAGAGCTTCCCGTCCTCACTGTGAACATCTATTCCTGTAACAATAACCAGTCTTTATCATCTCAGAAAATTGCTGTTTTATGCTCTTAAACTGGGGATTAAAGTGTAAAGAATTTTATCTGGAATTTCAGTTCAGGATACAAAAAGTGAGCTATTAGGCAGTGGATGCTTGTTGGCACAGTTCTTTTTCCTTTCATTCCTTTTTTATAACTCAAATGTGTGCCAAGATCAGATGGTGGATCCTATCGGATCTTAGGCAATTTACTATATCACCTAAGTGCCCTGCACCCTGTGGGATCCCCAGTCTCAATCTTGGGGTCCCTGGGGAGGCAGATCCTGAGTGCCAGCCCCTCTGTGGAGTGCTAGTGGCACTGGCACTTAGGTGACCAGCAACGGGTTATTTATGTCTGTGAACCGTCACAGCGAGCTGTGGTGCTCACGAGCCTGTGGTGCATGCCTGCATCACTTTTGAGCAAAATTGGGAGAATGTCCCTAGATCTTTGTTTCTTCCTTATGAGAGAAAAATGATACACTTGTTGAACTAAGTGTGTAGAATCGCTCAGCACCCTGGAGAAGCTGCCCATCTGTTGATTTTTTGGAGTTTAAGTTCCATAAACTACCATTTACCTCCCCCTTTTAAAGTTATTTCCTAGTACATAATTCTTTACTCCATAGTAAAGCATATTGGAATATCTGTTACTTGTGGTTTAGTATTTATACCTGGTCAAATACAACAGTCACATTTTTACTCCGAGGTATCAGTTCGGCCTGAAGAATCCTTTGAAAGTTGTGAGTCTGGAAATTAATGTGTGTTAGGCAAGACAGTACCTCCTGGTAATTTATTTAAGCTGACAGGGGAAAATGAGTGTCCCTCAGAATGGCCTGGTGAGTTTACTCAGATTTATTAATTACTGAGCAAGCATAAGCTTAATGTTTTCTTTTAAAGCCCTAAAAATTATGACGGGATGGGTGCTCTCAGTGAGTATAGAGATCTCCATAGTTGGTCCTGTCCGGTGCCTTTCATAACAAAGTCATTGGATGTACTATTAGCTTACAGGAGGCTGCAAGGTGAGCTCTGGATGTCTTTGAGAATACTGCAGGGGCTGAGTATGTCTACCTCCCCTCTCTTCCACCACAGGGTCTGCATTGCTGTGGCTAGCCTGTATACTAACAGCTTCAGTTTCTAAGGTTCATTTTTTTTTTTTCTGATTTTGCTCTGAGTCTCTACCTGGAACAGATTTGGCTACCAGAAACAGAGACAGATAGTAGTTATTTTGCCTCAAAGAGATTGAAATTACTGATGTTTAAAATGTGAAATTAGAAACATATTGAATAGCTCAACACTTTTAGCTCTTTCCATCCTTCTTGTTTGGCTTTAAAAACTGCCTCTGTTGCAGAAAAAGAGTTGACCACACAAGAACTGGACAGTGAGCTGAACCCACAAGTAGAAAAGCCTCTGCCGAGCTTGTTGCTTGAGGTTTTCTTAAGCATGTTCTTAAGGGTTTTTTTTTTCCTATTTGATAAAGTCTATTCATTTTAGTTTTATTTTCTGCAGATGATAGCCAAAAAATTGTAATATGGTGCTTATGTTGTCTGATGAATAAAGAACCACGGACTTCTACCGAGTCGGGACTTAACTCATGGATCCGGGTAAGAGAGTAAAGTTCCATCTGCTGGCTCTGCTCTGACTTCAGTTGGTGATTTTAAGACACCCCCATCCACACACACACTTCTTTTCCCTTTATTTCTTTCCCCAATTTTGTCTTGTTTTAAGGCAGTGGTTCTCAACCTGTGGGTTGTGACCCCTTGGGGGTTGAACACAGGGGTCACATATCCAATATCATGAATATTGGATATTCACATTATGATTCTTAACAGTAGCGAAATTATAGTTACAAGTTAGCAATGAAATCATTTTATGGTTGGGGTTAGCATAACTTGAAGAACTGTATTAAAGGGTTGCAGTGTTAGGAAGGTTGAAAACCTCTGGTTTAGCAGGTTGCCTTTGTTGTTTTTGCTGAATGTTGAAGCTGTTTAGACTTCAGATTTGCTTGGTTATAAATTCCTGCCGTACTGTTCCTTATGATGAACCTCCCAGTGCTGACACTGCTGCATGCTGGGTGGTTTCGAAAAATACTTGGTAATGACTAAAAGAATGTACTGGGTTTTCTGCCAGCTATTGCTGGAAGCACTGTTTTACCCTGTAAGCCTAGTTTAAGTCCTTACATAATTTTTCTCCAAGAATCACTGTTTCTCAGAGTCTCTTTTGTGGTAAGCATGAGTTTAGAATGGAGAGGCTGGAGAGATGGCTCAGTAGTTAAGAGCAATGTCTCCTCCTGTAGAGGACCCAGGTTCAATTTCTAGCCCTCTCGTTGGCAGCTCACAACTGTTTGTAACTTTAGTTCCAGGGATCCATGACATCAGGCATGTATGAGGTGCACATATATGTGCATGTAGGCAAAATACTCTTACACATAAAATAAGTAAATCTTTAAAAAACAAACAAAAACAAAAGCAAGAAACAATAAACAAACCCAAAACTAATATCCACTGTATTAAAGGGTTGCAGTATTAGGAAGGCTGAATACCTCTGGTTTAACAGGTTGCCAAAAATAGAAGCCTAGCCCTAATTTTGAGTCTCAAAGTTGATGCCTAGACCACTGCTACTCATGCTTTCAAAATCATTCATCCTGGCAGCCACCTAGAGAGCTGATTGGCTCCTGGTTTTCTCCCACGTTTGTTTCTTCTGAAATGACCGGCACAAGTTGGAGACATGATCTGGCTGGCTACTTTTGATGTTTTCTGTTGCCCCTACTAGGTGCCACAGCCTGAGGACTTGCTGATGCAGTACCATCAGGCTCACTAACTGTGAGCCGTTCATGGCTGTGAAATTGCCCAGGTAGATTGGTACATAGGGTTTGGTCCACTGATGGTAGATTAGTACATAGGGTTTGGTCCATTGATGGTGGGTGATACATCACCTCCGCTCTTTATGTGTCCTTTATTTTAGACAAAATTGTTAATGGTGATGATAAATACAGTATTGTACTTTCTGTTAAATTGTAAGAAGAGAAGGTACACAAGGAATTAAAAGGATCAGGCAAGGGAAGACATGAATACAGAATTTGAAGAAAAATTCATGTAAGGGACTGAAGAAAGGAACTGATGAATTGAGTTAGAATTGCATTGAATCTGTAAATTGCTTTTGGTAAGATTTCCATTTTCACTATGTTAATCCTACTGATCTATGAGCATGGGAGATCTTTCTATCTTCTGATACCTCAATTTCTTTTCTTCAGCAACTTGAAGTTCTTGTCATATAGGTCTTTTACTTGCTTGGTTAGAGTTACAACAAGATATTTTATATTATTTGTGACTATTAAAAAAAGTAGTATTCCCTAATTTCTTTCTCAACCCGTTTATTATTTGTATAAAGAAGGGCTGCTAATTTTTTTGAGTTAATTTTATATCAAACCATTTTGTTTAAGGTGTTTATCAGTTGTAGGAGTTCTCTGGTAGAATTTTTGGGGTCGCTTATATATATACCATCATTTCATCTGCAAATAGCAGTACTTTGATTTCTTCCTTTCCAATATGTATCCCCTTGATTTCTTTTAGTTGTCTTATTGCTCTAGCTAGAACTTCAAATACTATGTTGAATAGGAAGAGAGTGAGCAGCCTTGTCTTTTCCCTAATACTAGTGGAATTGCTTTAGTTTGTCTCCATTTATTTTGATGTTGGATATTAGCTTGATGTATATTGCTTTTATTATGTTTAGATATGCATATAGGCACCACTTTAAAGTGTGCAGTTTGGCACTTCTGGCCAACAATACACCATATAACTGGGGCTGCAGACAGATACTACAGTACTTCTGTCCTCCCCAGGGTTCCCAATTGCCCCTGCATTCAGTCAGTTCCAGCCTTGGGTGACTGCTCTCTGCTTTCTCTCGCCACAGATTAACTTTTCTATAATTTCACAACAGAATTACACAGTATACACAATTTTGTTTATGGCTTCTTTCATTCAGCATAAGTTTACAGGATTATTTCTTATTGTTCAGAGATACTCAATTGAACTGATAAGCCAATTTGCTTATCCATTTATTTGTTGATCATTACTTGGATTTCTTGACTCTGATTTTTGCCTTTTATACGTAAGTTTCTATGAACATTCTTCCTTTGAAATTTCTGCAATCATATATTTTATTTCATCTTTGATAATCTATCAGGGCTATAATTGCTGTGTTGTGTCATCATATATGCTTAATATCACAAGAAGCTGCTAACTGGTTTGCAGTTTTAGTGGTAATGCATGGGGACTCTGGTAGCTCTGTTTGTTGCACAGCACCTAGAATTGTCAGTCTTTATGTTAATCATTCTAGAGCTCGTTGGGCTTTCTGCTTCAATTTTGGTACCAATTTTCCTGTTTATTTGACATTGACTATCTCTTCATAATCTGTCTTTTGTGAGTGTGTTTTGGAGGATTTAATCCATTTGAAAATAGGAGAACATGAGCTTAGCAAGGCACAGGAGTGCTTTTCAGATACTCCTGCTTTGCAAGATCTATGTTCAGAATAAAACCTCGTTAGTGGTCTGGCTTTTTTTTTTCTTAGTGATGTCATAGGAGTACCTAAGCTAAACCAGTCACAGAGGTTTACAGTTCTGGCCGTGTGTCAGACCACCTTGCTACTTTATGGTTAGACATATGCACTGCTGTTTACCAGTGGCAGGCTGTTGTGACTGTTACTCCTGAAGGTGAAGTTCTCCTGTGAGTGCTGAACCGTTTATATGATCATTTCCTAGCCCTAGAAGGGTTTCCCGATGCCCGGGAACAGGTTATTATTAGTTGAAGGAACATCTGTCTCCACATTGACTCTAGAACTTTCTTCTGTCTAGCTGCTTGTGTTCTCAAGTTCCAGCTCTTCAGCTTAGCAAACTGCATTATTAGTTTTTGTGTCTTGGAAAGATTCTTGTGCTCTATTTGTATGTCTCTTCCTGCTCCCTGGTTCATAGGGTGCTTCCAAACAGAAATCGGTTAAACCATAAGATTTGAGAGATCACAATCTGGTGCCACCTGCTGTCCAGTCCTCCCCCCAACCCCCAAAATCCCCAAATTTGCTAGGTTTCAAAGTTCTGAAAAAAGGAACACTTTTTAAAAACTTTTAAAACAAAACCTTTTGACAAATTAGCAAGATTTGAAGATATTTCCAAGTTGGTTTTAGAGGTTAATGTAGAAATATTAATGAGCTGCTTGACCTCAGTAAAAACATTTTCAGCTCATGAAGCCCCATCGTAACCTGTCCTCCCAGTGAGCAGATCAAAGAAGCTGTACGAACTTCATGTACGAACTATCTGAAGTATGATGCCACAGTTGGCATTTGTGAAGATTTTTAGCTGAAAGGAATATTGGATTTGAAGAATCCACCTTCTAAGAGAGGGTTTGGGGATGCCTTGCAGAGGCACTCTGTAAAAGTAACTTTTATTCACCCGATGTAAATTGTCATCTCAGAGGCTTGCTACCTCCATCTGCTAACTTAGGCCTAGCCCCAGAAACTTCTAGCCTCCATACAATCTTATCTAGGCCTAGAATGTTTTCAGCTTCCCAGACTTACTGCTGAGTAAGCTCACCCTTTCTAGCTCTTTTTGAACTCTGGCCGGATATTTCAACTCAGCTGTTCTGGCTTAAACTCTTCTCCAGTTGACTGATTCAATCTGGCTTCTCTCTAAGCCTCTTAAATGAATTTCTCTGCTTGGCCTCAAACTAACTCTGGCAATCTGTTCTAATCTAGCACCTCTCATTCTCTGGCTTGTTCTGAGTTCACCTGTTTCTAGCTTGTTCTCTCTTCAACCTGTCTCTGTAAAACTCTCTGAGTAAAACTGCCTTCTGCCCTTAAGTAGCCTCTCTTCTCTCTGTTCTCCTGAAAGCTGGACATATCCTATTCTGTCAGAACTTTCTCTGATTTGTCACTTTGTCTGCCACTCAATTAGACATCACTTTTAACATGGGTGCTTCTTTCTACAAACTAACTTTGCCTTCAGTATTTGGGGTTGAAAGTGTGTACTAAGGGCATGCATCTATTCCAGCCAGAGGGATTAAAGGTGTGTGCTAAGGGTCGAACCACACCACAGGTAGAGACAGGTTTTTTTTTTTTTTTCAGCACATAATACAATCTTGGGGTTCACAGTGAGATCAAATATCTTGCAACAGCACTCTGCCATTGAAAGTGCTTTGGTTCAAATTCTGGTCTGCTATGTTACCTTGTTCAAGTTCCATGCTTTTCAAACATGTGATCTTCTATCTTCAGTAGAACTAATCTCATGTCCTTATAGGGCTATTAGAAAGATAACTGGTTAGAACTCTATATACCATGGGTATCTGTATGCTTATAAGCGACTCTGCACATGGTGAGAGTAAGTACTCACTACGCCATTGTTGTGGCCATGATAAGGTTAGGGTTCAGAAGAAACTTAGCTATTTTAGTGGGAACATTCCTTGCTTTTTGGGGTTCAAGTATATGTTTTTCAGTTTGTAAAATAACAATGTGAACCTGCTCTCAATGCTAGGAAGATGTCATTAGTGACATGTCCTGTAACTTCCTGGCTACTGCACTCTCTGTTGAAGTTATGTTTTTTCTTTATTGTTGCCTT